TTGTTTCACTTAGTTTTAAAATGACAAAACTAAACAGGGTGGGGGTGGAGACAGGGGGATAATTCTGCTGTGTAAGCAAACATAGAAGTAAGTTTTAATGAAGACTGAGCCAGACTTTCACACATGCACACTGAAGACAAAAGGCAATGGACATAAATTGCAACAAGGGAAAGTCTTACTGAATATTAGGAAATTTTCTTCCCTGTGAGGGTGATCAACATTGCAACAGATTGCCCAGAAAGGCTCTAGAATAATCCTAAGAAGCCTGACACAACTTAAAAGTTAGACCTAACCTTCAAATCTGGCCCTCCTTTGAGCATGGGATTGGATGAGATGACTTTCAGAAGTTCTTTCCAACTTGGATTATTTTATTAGTCTATGATTCCTGTTTCCAGCTTAGACCATCTCAGCTACTACTTTCTTTTAATTGTGTCACACAAATCCAGGAAGACACTGAATATTCCTGCCGAAATGTCAAAGAATAATGTAAGAGAACATTACCAAATTTAAAACAATTTTGTGATTCTCACTGGTTGCAATCTCTTCCTGGCATTACTGCAATTTTGGAGGGTGCCATTAAAAACTCTTGCATCAGAATCTATACATTAAACTATCAATCCAGAGAAAAGGCTATCCAGTAGGTCTAACCAATGACACTAAATTATGGAAATTATCTTGTTTTGCTTTCTTGCAATATGAATCACTTCCAGATGTACAAATTGCCAAGATAGTTGAAGACTTTTCTCTCCCATTACTACAAAACAGCAGGTGGGGAATAGCTAGCTGAGTTACTTCAGGCAGCAGTAATAGGTTGGCTTACCTTGCTAGTAAACATGAGTATGAACTTGGCTCACTTTTTGTCCAAATAGCTACTGTCAAACAGACTTCTCTGTGTGTCAGTCAGGAATAGTAAAACATTTACATTTTTCTTATAAAAAGGAGTAGTTTTTCATTACACAATCCCTTTCACTAATAGATCAAGATGCTTAAGTTTCTGGTGGTGACAGCAGGGGATAATTTATTAGGCAGAGTTGCTAATTAATACTGCTAGAACTAGGAGCACAACCTCAATTTAAGGACGTCAGTAGTATTTTTTTTTTCTACCCCTAAAGAAGGTACAAAGACAAGCTGCTCTCTGCTCATCAACAGAAGTTTGATTGTTTCTTGCCTGTTAATCTTTGCTCTAGCAGTGAAAAAGTAAAAGCCCTATTACAATTGGTATGGCAGCAAGAAGCTACTGCCATGTAAAATGTAAGTATTTGGGGGGGAGATAATATTTACTCCCTAAGCATGGCAATTCAGGTCAGCCTCTTCATAATGGATGAAAATATGAGACAACACCTCTAACAAAATGTCCACCTGCAATTAAACATAATGATACCGATCTTTCTCCAAACTTTTCCTTTGGGAGGGAGGGAGAGGGGTTTCTTACCAAACATATTAGCCACATAACAAAATGTGGCCAAGTGTAACAAACGAGCATTTATATCAAATACCAGAGAGCTGAGAGGAGGGAGGAATTTAGAGAGTACTTCAAAACTGAGAAGTAACAATTTCTCCATTGGTCCATTGGTCCTCTGCTGGAGTGGAGTAGAAGCACGGTCCAAGACGGCCATTATCAGCTCCAGTAGCCGAGGCAGACTCACTTCTTTTGAAGTGTAGGTTTTAGAGTAAGTAGCAGCCCTCACTGCTGCACAACCATGACAGTTTTGTGACACATGCATCATCTACAGTTCAATCAAAAAAATCTTAAGATGCTGCAACTTTAGTACAGTAAGTCTGCCCGAAGGAACTGTTTGGTACAGCAAAAGAAAGGTTTGTGAGACTGAAGCAGGTTTTGTTTTGTTTGGTTTTTTTTTAATACTAGAAGGTACTCTTGCAATGCCAAGTTTTTATCCCGGAGTCAAACTGAGTTGAAATACTCTGTTGCATTTCAGAAATGAAGTGCCAGAAGTCATCCATGGATGCTGGCTCCTTGTAATCCATTATGAAGCTGTTACTTTAGCAAAGGAAATTTCACATGAAACTGGGGCTAGGTAAGAACTACTGCTTCCATTGAAAGTCTCTCAGAAGTAAAAAGATACTTCTGGGACTTTGAGTCCCTTGGAATGCCAGTTAAATATTAAGAAATTGCTGGGCTTGCCTAGGAGACTTGCAGATTGCTCCAGCACTCCAGTGCAAGTTAGCCTCCTCGCAGGTCAGTTGCTGAAACTGTATCTTCTGCATGCTTACTTCCTCAACAATCTAAGTACAGAGTTACCCAGATCAGGCTGCCTATGAAAGGTGATTAAATTAACATGGCCAACTTTTCAGGAAAGCAAATTAGAAGCACTCAAAAAAAAATAATCCCATCTGCATAGCTGTAGAGGCAGTAAACTCTAAGAAAGTCTGAAGAACAGCTGGAAAGGTGAGGAAGCATCTTCAGCTAGTGCAGCTATTTCCATAGTGAATGCCTGATTCTCCACTCAAATTTCTGATCTACTTTTCATTAACAAGCTCCAATTTTGTTTCAACCAGCTAGGAGGACAACAGTAAACACAGAATCACAGAATCATTGCAGATGGAAGGGATCTCTGAGATCATCAATCCCACCTTTTTGCTCAAAGTACAGTTAACTACAGCAGGCTGCTCGGGGTTGTGTCCAGCTGGGTTTTAAATATCGTACAGGATGAAGAAGGCACACCCTTTCGGGACAACCTGTTCCAAAGGTCTGACCACATTTCACAAGAGAAAAAAAAACAAAAAAAACCCCCAAAAACCCCAAAACACCCACAACTTTTTTTTCCCTTATGTTTTTGTGGAGTTTCCTGTATTTCAGTTTATGCCCATTGCCTCTTCACCAGGCACCGCTGTGAAGAGTTTGGTTCAGCCTTCCTTAGTCCCCTCGTCAGGTATCTCTATACACATTGGTAAGATCCTCCCCCAAGTCTTCTCATCTCAAGCCTAAACAGTCCCACCTCTCAGCTTCTCCTCCTATGTGAGATGCTCTAGTCCCTCCCTGTGGCCCTTCGCTAGATCCACTCCAGGATGTCCAGCTAATCCCTAATACAAGTAAGTAATAATACTAAGAGGCAATTTCAGATTTTTTTTCTTTTCTTTTGAGATCTACAGCAATAGATTTGAAATCAGTGCAGCTTTTTGGAGTCACTTAATTAAATTACTGATCCTTTGTGCGATTATTATTTGTTTCTCTCAGATGCCAGATCAACGTCACTTACAGCAAGAGGTAAGCTCTACCAAGGCAGACAATTATGTTACGTAGTTGAAAATTTGAAATTGTGGATAGAAAAAGATTCAAGTGATTGACTGAAATTTAAGAGTGATACCCACAATAGAATTTTGCTGGCATTATGCTACAGTTGCACAAAACAAGTATCTTCATCTCTTAGTTGCATTACCAAAATTGCACCTTTAGACTTTTATCAAGATATTAACAACAACATTATTAGGAATGATACTCCTTAGGGCAAGATCTGTATGACAAGATCCCAGATGCCACCTGAACCTAAATTTGTTAGTTAAAAAAAATAAAAATCCTGCATATCACTAACCTCATATTCTTTTTCTAATAACCACAGTTTTGGAGAAGAGAGAGATACTGTTGTAAGGCACTTGAAAAAGCTCTAATTAGAAATCAGGTCAACTGTAAAGTAATTCTAGCTTCCACTTGCACCTAAAATAAGACAGCAAACACAAGGCTGTAAGTCCAATACAACATCCCTCGTATTATTCACTACAATAATGTGTTTCATTATACTACTAGATATCTAAAGAAACAATTCAGAAGATCAGAAATCTACTTTTTCTTTCTGCACTGATTTTTCTTCTGGAACTTTCTGAATGTTTCTACTTCAACAAGCTTTGTATCTCTTGGTTCCACAGTAAGTTGGGCAGTCTGAACAGAAAGAAATAGCAGCAATTACTTTGAGAAGTTTGGCTCACTTCCATGATGGAAAGAATGTGCATGTTCAGCACTAGAACTTCCCTGAACTCATCTTGGCTACCTCAGAAACAGTTTCTCACTGTCGCAGAGGCAGTGGACTTGCAGTTGCTAGCTTATCTAGAAGGCAAGGAAGACCTTCACCCCAAGTCAAACCCCAGCCCTTTTGCAACAAGTGTACTGCTGATCAATGAGAACTTCCTCCTCCTCGTGAGGAGACGCCCAATTAGGCATACCGGAAAAAAAGAAAGAAAAAAAAAAAGAAAAGAGTTCTGTGCTATGGATTTCCCAAAGACCGTCTTCTTGCTCCAAAAGGCAGGTCAGGAAAAAAAAACCTTAATTATGATCTCAAAATTGAATTACCATTGCATTAACTAAAGAAAAGAATATGGAAGACAACCATCACTGCAATACTTCTAGGACAAGGCTCTCTTCTTCCCATCTGAACAAAAACCCAGGGAAAAAAACCCCAACCATTACTGGATTTCAGTTTGAAGTCATATGAAAAAGCCTTTTGCTAATGGAAATCTGTCATTTTCTTCTCTGCTCAAGCTTTTTTCCCTGAAGCACTGCGTACCAGCATCTTAAATTGTTCGTCCTTGAAAGAGCATTTTGTTTACAATTTCTATTCCTTCACTAAAATGCATTCTAAAGAAGTAAGGCTCGTATTTCAAAGAGGAGCAATCTACCATATGCACACCAAAAGGAAGGCCCTAGTTTTATCGTATTTCACATTATTTCAGTGAAGAGCTGTATAAAAACTTAATGTACAAACTCACTACCTTGCTGCTAAGCTTCCAGAATGATTATCGCTTTTACAACAACTTCTGATTTACCTTCTGAAATTGCAATGCATATTTCTATGCTTTTAAATTTAAGGCAAGTCAACATCCTGCCTTTTTTTTTTTTTTTCAGCCACCATCCACTATTATATATGGGTATTTAAGGAACCAAAAGGGTGAGCACCAAACGAACAACCAATGCTCCCAGCACATTTAAACAAGAGTGCTTCACACCATTTACTATGGTAAGGCCCTTTTTAAATAAACGTGTGACTCACTGTTTGTTTTCTTCACCAGGAGGTGGAGTCTTGCCATGCCCCTCCATTACAAAATCCTCATGTTCCATCTGCAAAGGCAAGCATTGCAGGTCAGAAATCGGTGGAGCAAAACGCACATCACCTAAAGTGGCCCTTTTCCATACGCAACAACTTAAGACAGCCACTTTATCACAGTGGCTGGTCCAGAACAGATCATGTAGTTTCTTAGCAACATATGTACATCTCCAACCCCATCACTATGGTATCATTTTATAGCACAATTTTCAGAAAATCTTACAAGGGAAAAAGAATAATTTAATGGCTATAGCAGAAGACTAACACTCAGGTTATCTAGGTTCTAAGTTTTGCTCTGTTATGGACTTCCTTTGTCATTCTGAAAAAGTATGGCTTCTGCCACTTCTTCCTTACATATAAAGCAGGAATTAAAAACGTCTACCAACATGTCTGCAGAAAAATCAGAATTTTCAAAGAAACTTATTAACCACAGACAGAAACTGCTGTGAAAGCAGAGTACTTCTTGTGAAAAATAACTTTTATATGAAAAAGAGACTTTCACTGCACACGCGTAGCTTAGTTAGCAGGGTAAAAGAGGCCTAAGGGAACCTCAAATAGAGGCTGTTCCAATGACAACATAAGGTAGGCATTTCCTTTGGCTCACATGTTAAAAGATTCCAAGGGCACTAAGGAAGTTTTCTGTTTAATTGTTTGCTTTTAAAATACAGTTTTAGCATATATTTTCAGTAATTTCTTTGGCCAGAAAGAATAATTACATTATATTTGATCATTAATTAATTACGCACTCTTCATTTAATTACTTCATTCCGGCAGAATTTCTTGCACAGGTAGCAAAATATTCTTCTCTTTATACAAAAATTCAACACATGCACTTAGTATTTTATATAAACATCCAGATATACAGTTAGCAATGCTCTACTTCATATGAAGCCAGCGAACAGGCCACACTGCAATATTCAGTAAGCCATACAACAAAGCAACTAAATCATAATCACACACAAATCCATGATCCGCTACATTAAACCGGAAAGAAGAGAGAAGTACTAATCAGTCAGTAAAGATAACATGGTTTAGTTAGTCTTTGAAGGAACAAAAAAAACAACCCCAAATTAAACCAAGCGGCCACTTTCCTTTGTGGCCCTACCCTCCCCCTAGAAGAGTCAAGTTCAGTCATTTGTACCTTGATCCTGTTGACAGGTCAAAAATACTGACAAAAAAACATTATCTGCATATTGACATCTAACAAGGATAACGGAAATTACGTTATTTGCCTGCACAGGCACAGCCCTAAGCAAAACCACAAATGAACTGGGAAACTGATGAACTATAAGGTGGCAATGACATCCAGAACACAGATAGTCAGTCAAATACATGTAAGGTAGTTTCACATTTGTAAACATGTACCCATGTGACCCATGGTCAAAACAGTACTTTCATCTAAAAGCAATGTTTGAAAGCAAGAAAATTTTGCATTAGTTTTGTAAATAACTCATACTTTTATCCATGTATTCCTACCATATCAGGCACACTGAAACCTGTTTGTACCTCAGTCTGTATCTGATTCTCGAGAGCTCTAATATCTGGACTCAAAACTATCTAGCAGAAGAGAAAGGTATTCATTCCACTAATTCTGTTGTTGCAGATGTTAAAACACAAGTGTGACAACTGGTAGAATAGCTACAGATTTGTGGCTAAACGCAAAACAGCATGGTTCTGTGAGTGCAGGTAAGTGTTTAAGAGTCACTCTTACACAACCTGAGATCAGGAGGTATTTTAGCCTGTTGCTGGTATGAGACAAGTACAATTCATATGAATGGTAAGCAGGGGGACAGTTTGTGGCCAGTACTGAGAAGAAAGATGAAATACAGCCTTTGGGAGTAAAGCAGCACTACATACAGCATATATAGGGCTAAACTAACAAGATTCCCATATAAAATAGAAATTCAATTTAATGAAGCTGTAGAAAAGGAGAGATCAAAGAACTTGGGTATAAAATGTGAATGATTTTAAAACCAACAAAAACTTAGAAAGGAATGGGAAATTATTTTATTAGATCATAAACAAGAACTTTGAATGAGAACTGGAACATCTAGTAGACCACCACCAGGACAAGGCAATTGCTGAAGTACTGCCAATAAAACTGTTGCTTTAATATGAATTTTATATGAAGAATGCTAGTGTCATAGGTGTTCCAGACACACTATCATCTAGCATGCATATCTATCAAAATTGCCATTTCAAAGAGAAGTGGGCAAATAATTAAGAACAAGTCGCCTGAGCTAGAAACAAGATTGTAGGTCCAGGCACAATCTGTTTTAAAGCAACTAGAAAATCTCATCTACTTTAAGAAATGTTAATCAGCTTGCTCTACTTCAGACAGTTAGCAGAAGTATCTGAAATGACTAAAATCTGTATTATAAAAAACTGAAGACGACATGGTACAATCATGTCAGCACTGGAAAAAGAGAGCCAGGCTTCATGTAACTTAGAGAAAGGCAATGACACAGTTTCTCAGGAGAAGTTCATCAAGAAAATTAGTCACAGAGTGAGAAAGTACTCATGAACATGGAAACTGTTCAATACACAAAATAAATATTAATCAGTAGGTCTTCACTGATTAAAAAAGCTAATAATAAAATGCATCAAGACACGAAAAAAGGACATGGGAACTCCAAGAAATTGAGTATTAGTGAACTAGAAAAAAAAAAAGTCTCTTTTTTAGAATGGATGAACAACTTGACTGATAGGAAACTGCTGGCTGGTCAGGCTCAGAGGACAATGGTCACTGCATCGATACCAGCCTCCAGCTCCTGGGGTGCTGCAGGGCTCTACCCTAGGACAAGTCCATTAAACAACTTTGCCAATGACTCGAAGGGCTGGTAGGGTATACTCTGGTCAGAATTTTAAGATAATACTTAACTGGGGTGAAGAGGTTAAGTCAGCATGTCCAAGGGCAGGGCTGCCGTTCAGGTGGACCTAGACAGGCTGGAGGAATGGACCCAACAGGAACTTTATGAATTCAGACAGGACAAACACAAAGCCCTGCACCTGAGGGGCCCTGGCAACTATACAGGTTGGAGACTGACCAGGGAGCAGTTCTGTGGAAAAGGTCTTGGCACACAGCAAGCTGATCATGAGCCAGCAGTGTGCCCTGGCAGGAAAGGTCAGCAGCATCCCTGGCTTTATTAAGAAGAGCCTTGCCAGTAGATGAGGGAACCAATTATCGCCTCTACTCGGGGCTTATTATTCCGGATATGGTCTAATACACCTCGTTTTGAGTCCCCCAGTACAAGAAATACATCCATAAAGTGGATGCAGTAGGGCACCAAGATGCTCAGGGAGCCAGAGCACTTGCCCTGTGAGGAGAGGCTGAGGGAGCTGGGCTTGTTCAGCCGGGAGAAGAGACGGCTTTGGGGAGACCCAACAGCAGCTGGTCTGTATCCACAAGGAGGTCAGCAAGGAGTCAGGCTTACCACAGTGGTGTATAGTGACAGGACAAGAAGCAATAAGCATAAGCTGAAACAACTCCAGACTGGATATAAGGTGACTCATCTTCATCATGAGGACAGTCAAGCACTGGAACAGATAGCGCAGAGAAATTTTGTAGCCTCCTTGCTTCAAGGTTTCCAAGGCCAGACTGGATATAATCCCTCGTAACGTGGTCTGACCTCATAGCTGACCCTGCTTTGAGCAAGAGGTCAAACTAGAGACCTCATGAGGTCTCTTCCAACCTCAATTTCCCACCAATCCTATGAACACAAGAGCAGAATCAGTTGAATGTCAAGAGGTAATATACAGGAGAAAAAAAAAACCCTATCAAATGCCCAATCCAGAAAGAACCTGCACTTCAGTGTGGAAAGGTCTAAGAAAAATATCTTAGAAGGTTACATAATAAAAAAAAAATAAAAACACCACCACCTAGAAAAACTAAATAATCCCAAATAGTAATACAGAAAGAAATACTGAAATGACTGGAGCAGAACCATGGTATGTCCTCTTTTAGAATACTGTCTATGACTACAGACAGTGAAGGCTCACAACCCCTCCGCAACACTTTAAAATGTGAAAGCTCAGAATAAAGAAAGGTCTGAGGCAGAGAGAAGATTTTTACATTAATAAAATCCAACATTTGGGCTGCAGATCTCCCTCAACACAAGATGACATGTGACCAAGACATACACAAAAAAAGCTGTTTGACAATGTTGTAACAAGTATCACCCCTTTGCTACCACAATATAAATAAAACCTAGCCCACTCACAAAAAAACCAACATAAGTGCATATACAGTTATTTGGAAAATATACTTCCAAGCAGACAAAAAAATTACTCGTTACACAGACATAAATTGCAACACTGAATTTCACAAGTCCTTTTGGATTTTATGTTTATATATCTATATGTATGAAGATTTATTTGTGTATTAGAGGATTACAAAACAATAGCAATACAAGCTTTTATGTTTCTGGCAATGAGATCATTTTTACAAAGTGAAAGGGGAAGTTACATATGTAAGATCATTCCACGGGCCTGATGCAGTGCAGCAGTTTTTGCATCCCTCTTTGCAGAGCCTTGCCTCTAATTTTCTTTTGCTTGCTGCATATGTTAAACAATTTCATGATCAGTGATTTATATTTTTTGCTTTGAAATTTGCAGTTTTTAGAATTTTTGCTAGAAAATGCTACACCATTTATTTAGTGTTTTAAAAATTCTAGAATAAGCTTATAAAGTAATATCCATTTCCAGCTTTCCCTGACACTTAAAAGTCACTTTACTGGGTAGTTCATCTTACTTCAAAGAGATATCTGACAAACAGCCTTCTGAAAACAATTAATAAGCAAACTGCCCCAGTAAAATTCCACAGACATTTTTTATGTTTTCCTAAAATTAGTTCTTAGGCCCAGCTATCTATTCATTAGAGTTATTTTTGAGATCCAAAAAAAAGTACTTGAAAATCAAAACATTTAGGTCTTATTTTCCCAATGACAATAGTAACATCCCATTGCAGGAAAGATGAGAACATGACATTTTAAGTTTTTGATTAAGTAACTACCTGAGGATGAACTGAAGAGAGGAACAGCACATAACAGCCACAGTTAGCTGAAAATATTCTTCTTTTTCTCCTCCACCCACAGTTCTTACAAAATTCCTATGCACATTTCTTCCCCACAAGTCTCTCAGTTTCTCTTCACTCTATCATCACTGTATCACATTCAACACTCTCTTAGTCTTCTTTTTAAGGAAGCTGGAGCCCAGAGTCCTCACTAAGTTTCAGCCATACACAGTATACAAGAACCACAGCAGATCTGGTTAACTGCAAACGTTCTGAAAAGGCATATTCTAAGTCTTTCATCTCTCTTGACTTACACCATACGTAGGAAATGGAGTTGTCCTAAGTATGTAGAAAAAGAGTAGAAGGCAGAGTTAAGACAAAACTCTTGTACCTATTGTATTCCTCCCAAGGAAAGAAGAAAAAGTGGAATGGCAGAGCATCTGAGACACTTCAGTTTCTGTTAAAAGGACTGCAGAGGGAGCCACTGATTCCCAGAGCAGGAATCAAAGGAAGCGCACTCCACACCTGTTTCTCCTGGCAAGCGATGGAGAAGACTTCAAGATTCTGGCAGCTGGAGGCAGGAACCAGAAATAGACTCTTAAACAGCAGGGGGAAGTCAATAGAAAACTTGCATTTTTTTAAAAAAAGCAACTGCAAGTTGTTGAACTCCATATTTTATTATTTCAAAGCTTTTTTTCCTTAAAAAGCCAGGCACCTGTGAACATCCAAATGTTAACAAAAGTTTATACATTGAATGTTCTTAATAATAAAAGACAAATCGTTTTATGTAAGTTTAAAAAAAGCTATTCACAATTAAGACACTCAATACTTAGTTTTCAGAAAATGAAATATACCAGAAGGAGCTTAGACATAAGAAACACTTCCCCCCCCCCCCCCCCCCCCCCGACGTGCAACACCTGTTACTACAGTTTCATACTACTCTTTCTAAAAATATCTTCAATGAGACCCGAATGGATTTGATTACCGAGTAAACCTAATCTGGAGTTCCTAGATAAAGTCAGCCACACTTTGAAGGGCCAGAAAGTTTCAAGGGCAAAAGCCTCATCTTTCCTGAATCCTGATGTCAGAAAGCACATTTTCCTAACAAGATTCGACACCTTTATTAGGTAACCTAGCCCACCAAAACTGAACTGAGCGCAAGAGAAACCAAGAATTTTCTCAGGAAGAAAGGTAGATGCTTGTAAGAAATCCTATACCTATTATGAAAAGCTATTAATTTTAAACAGTATTTTGTCTTTTCGTCTTCACCAGTTAGAGAAACATACTAATGCAGCTTCACCAGAGTGCCACTGTCACTACCTTTTCCCACTCGTTCCATAGTTCCTTTTCATAGCTGTGACTTTTATTTTTTTATTTTCTATTTAATAAAAAAGACTGCAACCAGCCACCTGACTGAACAGGAGATGAAGACTCAAGGTTTTGGGTTTTTTGTCAGGGTTTTTTTGTTTGGTTTTTTTTGTTTGTTTGTTTTATTCACTAGCATCTCAAGCACACATGAACTGAAAACCTTATCTGGCATACAACTAGACTCTGGTGAGGACCAGCCAAGGTCAAAAGCTGCTTTCTGCAGGTTGTGGCAATTTACTTCCAGTGCTTTACCTGCTGATTTTAACACAGCCTACTGCAGGCCCATCTTAAAACTGATAAATTTGGTGTTTTGTCACAGCTGCTGCTTTAACACCAGTGTACCTTCCCAATCATCAGCACCAACTGCGCTACTGTAAACAGGCCATCAGCATTTCCTTTGTCTCACTAATACTTGCTGTAAGTAGAATTACACAACGTAATCATTAAAATCCAAGCAATTAGTCACTAGTCACTACTGCTAACTGTGGTGGAAGCCCTGTAAAATGCCAAGCAGTTAGAAGAACTTGTCAGAAATCTCAGAGACAATTTGAGGTCTAACAGAAATGTAATCACTACTACAAATGAAAGGGAAGCTGAGTCACCTCTCTGCCTGGCTTTACTGTAAGCACTTTGGACAAACTGCATCAGGGAAAATTTTACTTATTAGCAACAGATTAATTAAATCTTTAATTTAACTTCTTTTAACAAAAATCAATGCAATTTAGCTGCAAACACTTTAATAATTTTCTTAGGAACAAATCAGTGTTAAGCTAGCATCTCAAAATATGCACAGAATAGCACAAATTGGTTAGCAAAATTAGTCCCCAAATATCCTTTCTAGGTAAAACCTTAATTTCAGTACACAGATGAAAGCATTAAAAACACCACTTTAGAAATAGTGATTTAACCTTAAAAGAAAGAAAATAATAGAAAAAACAGCTCCTAAAATGAAAAGGAGCAAAGTATTTTTCTGAACCACACAGAGGAGAGTCTTAGAGACAAGATATGCATGAAAATTTATCTGAATTTTGTCTCTTTCAGGATTTTGTTGTATTGTACAGCATTGTGATGTTACTAAATTTTCCCTTGGACCTGCTTCACCCCCCCCCCCCCCCCCAATTTTGCGAAAGTGCATTCTCAATATAGAAAAAATACCAATACAAGATGTGAACAATCTCCTAGCCTACTCACTATTTTCTTGAAGTTTCTCATCGGCATCTAGATTGAGCATTTCAATGTTATTACCATCACGCAGTCCTAACTGGTTTTCCTGTTAGTAAAAAGAGAAGTTAAAACTTACTAACGTAATCCTACTGCTAAATCACATACCACATTTGGTACTCCCTGCTAATCTTTTTGAATGCTTACACACTTAAACTGCATAAAACTACTTTTTAAAATCACTAATCTAATACCTGTGTTTGGTATCACAGCCTAATGGTACTTTAACTCCTGACTCAATGAAATGTTACAACATTAGCTATAAATGCCAACACATTAACATATACATACCATCATTAAAATGTGCATCATCCTTATAGAACAATAGGACATTATCAATGGCAGGTCACCTGATCATTAAGAATAAAGAAATTTTGTAACTCAGGATATGTAATTTACATTTCACCTAAATAAGCACCAAACCTGCAGCAGTGGTTAGAACATCAGAAGTTTTGCTTCTACCTCCAACTGTCACTAATTAATCACCTGCACTTGCAGAAATAACCTATGGCCCACTTCCTATGTAAATTTTAAAATGTTTATGTTATCTGATATTCTGTGAAATACCCAGCAGCTTAAAACAAATAGTTTTATCAATATCATGAAAACAACAGTCACACTTTGGGAATGCTAAGAAGGTCAGGACCCTAACTGTATTTCACACTGTAGAGATAAGAAAGTTTACTTAATTAAAAAAATATTTTTTTAAATGCCTTACTTAGCTGCAAAGTATTTCCAATATAACAGCTCATCAATATATATAATAATTCATCTGAATCTTGCTCTCAAGGCAATTTGAACTACCCTAGTTGTTTGCAGCAAGATACTGTTTTGCCAGTAACACCTTCAACCACCAAAGATGTTTAAGTCACTCAAGTTATGGTATGACAGGATATCTAGAAATGCCATTTGAAAACTTCAACTCTGAAGCTGCGAAGGCAGCTTTGAATAATAGTTCAGCAATCTCAAGACCCCAAAATGCACAAGGCATTCAAATGTAAGCAAAAGTGCTCTCCTTTTCCTGCACAACAGTTGACAATGCACTCCATTTCTTAGGGTGTTCTGTACATACATAGTATGGATCCCAGAAAAATCTTAATTTAGTAAGACATGAGCAATTCTCATCTTTTATTTAACTAACTTTCTCTATTATTCTTCAGCTAAAGACCATTAGCATTTCACAAGCCATGAGTTCTTGCTAATTTCTGCAACTCTGAAAAAACCTTTTACACTTCTATAACAAATATTTTACATTTTCCATTTAGGGGAAAAATCTGACCCAAAAGCCCTTGAACAGTTCACCCCCCACCACTCCTTTGAGCAGCCACTCCTATGCAGCCCAATGGCTATTTAGCCAACTCGTTTTACAGTTAATTTACTATTTATGGGGCAGACACACATGAACAAGTTATAGCATTTTAAACTGACATCTGTAAGTAGCTGATATTTTGATACACATTGTTAACCACCCTGACAGAGATAAGAAGACATGTTAACTGCTCTCTTCCACTTAGATTTGGAAAGCTAGATGATGTATTGCACAAAAGGACAACAGGCGCAAACAATGAAAAGAATTTTTAATGGCTCAAGAAAGCAGATGATAATCAGAATTACTGAAAACTAAATTACACTTTTGCACTACACATTCAATCACCTTCACTGCCACGAATATTGTTTTCTGCTGTTTGTTACGAGTGACTGAAAGTGACAAAAACCAGGCACACATAAAAAGTGCTGAAATTACTCTGCCTTAAGAGATCTGATCAGACAGGCAAGGAAGAGAAAGAACTAACTTTCTTTTCTGTGTTCACGGAAATCTATTGTGTGGATTCTAAACACATAGAAACTGCCAGTGGCCCAGAAAGTTCCTGAGCAACGAACAGATGAAGGCTGAGAGCAATTCTGTTATAAGTATATACTAACCCTGCTTTAAGCCTGTCTTAGGCATCCACTTTTGACCACCATCAAAAAGGAGAAGGAGTACAGGCTATTCACTCACAGTGTACAGCTACTTTCCAGTTTCTCCGGTTATCAGAATGTAAATCCAAACTCATTTTAGTCACAAGGGAGCCAGTGACAATGCTGCTTGCTTGTATAATTTTTCCAAATTTCTCAGTATTATTAGAATTGTTAGATATCTGACAGACCACCAAACCATTAAAACACCCACTCATCTCTGGGACAGAACCTAGACTTTTCTTGCTTGCATACATTACAAGCTGCCCTCAAACAAAAAACCTCAAACACCACTGGAATAAGTTATTTCTCCAGGAATCACACATGGAAACTTTCTGTCTGTTGAAAGGTACCAATATGATTTCAGAGTACTCTATAACATTTCTTAGCAACCTAATTCCACACAGGCTTACTGCATCTGTAGACAACTATTATGTTCTCCCTTCTTCATAATACATTGTCTTGTCTACTATCTGAATGTCTCAGTGAACAGACTTTAAACAAGTGACAGGAAATGTTGACATGCTTTTAATGTTGCTTTTACCTTCAGGGGAACTGATATTGCATAATGCCTTTCTGCAGAGTTCAAGTGTCCTTAGCTGTCCACACACTCTCTTATCTACTGTAACGATGAAGACCATCGCTAGTATTTTTAGTGTCAAGAATAAAAAAAAAAAAAAAAAAAAAAAAAGGCCTTCTCCACAAACCCCATATCCACTTCTTCCACACCCGATGAGAGAAGAAAAAATTCTGAGGAACTGAAACAAATTCATACCCATTTAGTTGACAAACTGAAAATGAAATTGTCCTTGTAAGGTCATGCAAATGTATGAAGTCAACAAGACCAGTGAATCTTACACCTTTCAGTGACTCAGCCAAACTAATCGGACTAGAAATGATTTGGAAGGGTAAAGTAAGCTGTTACTGCCTGTGGCTCAAATTTCTCCCAAAATACCTGTCCCCCTCAGTCTGCCACAAGACAGTAAGATTGAAAACATTTATCGATACTTTCACACGTACAGGATTTTGTTTTAAGTGGCTGATTACATAGAAATCCGTCACACTGACATGGACTATAACCACTGCCAACACTGAACGGAAAGAGATCAAAAGACAACATTCTGAAAAGGCAGAAACCCCTCAAATTGTGTGCCAATAAATACACCTGCATGAGAAGAGACGCTTTGTAAGGAAAGCCACAAAGCAGTGTCCCTGACTGTCTCCAAAATCACAGCAGGACCATACCATGTTAGCTCTTAAATGCAGAGCTGCTTTTTTTAAAAAGTTTTTTTTAAGCAAATATGATTTGCTTTTTTGTCTGTTTTGTGAAGTATTACAAACTGCTGTAATCAACTGAAGAAGAGATGCTATTGATTGAGAAAAAAAAGAGAAAACATTTATGAAAAATAAAGAACCCTTAAAAGAATAGAAAAGGTGACTTTAAACTGAGTTTTATTTAAGAATGAAGCATTTTTTCCTTTAGGAATCAGAGATACACACCTGTTCACTGCAATGACATTCCATGCTATTACATTTCTTCCACATGAACTGTGCATATGAAAAGGCTAGATCAAAGGATTGTATGATGACAGTTCTTACAGGTCTCAGTTTGGCAGATGATGGTCTTTTCCAAGGGACGGAAAAGACAACATTGTATTAACCTTCTCTTTTGTGCTTCAAAAGCACTTCAGGGTATTCTGAGATTAGAAAACAGAGTGTCATATTTCAGTTTGGTATCTGTATTTTAGCAGTCTTCACCAGGAGTTAAGTAGGTTTCAAATGAGTAATCCATCTTGCCTCAGTACACTCACCTGGCAAAATCTCGCACTTGATTCTGAATTTCTTTAAAAATGTCCAAGCAGCTAAGCTGTCAACAGCATTCCTTCACAATAGTTGAAGTAGCACTGTCTGTTTAATTCCACGTTCTTTTTTGCAAAGTCCTCAACAATTTTACCTTGTTTATAACTGCTGTTTTATAACACCAGTAGACCCTGATAACATACTGTACTGGTTTTGGCTGGGATAGAGTTAAGTTCCTACACAGTAGCTGGTGTGAGGTTGTTTTGGATTTGTGCTGAAAACAGTGTTGATAACAGGGATGTGTTAGTAATTGCTGAGCAGTGCTTACACAGCATCAAGGCCATTTCTGCTCCTCATGCTGCCCCGCTAGCAAGGAGGCTGGGGGTGCACACGAAGTTAGGAGGGGACACAGCTGTGACAGCTGACCCCAACTGACCAAAAGGATATTCCGTACCATATGATGTCATGCTTAGTAATAAAACTGAGGTGTGGGTGGGGGGTGGGGGTGGAGGTTGGCAGGGGCTGCTGCCATTGCTCAGAAACTGGCTGGGCATCAGTTGGTTGGTAGTGAGCAATTGTTTTCATTTTGCATCACTTGTTTTTTCTTGGGTTTTACTTTCCTCTCTGTTTTTTTCTTTGCTTTTTTTTTTTTAATTATTAAACTGTCTTTATGTCAACCCATGAGTTTTCTCCCTTTTACCCTTCCAATTCTCCCCCCCCCCATCTCACAGGGGCAGAGCGAGCAAGCAGCTGTGTGGTGCTTAGTTGCCGGCTGGAGTTAAACCACATACCGTAATTATAGCTCTTTGCTACAATGCCTTGAAACTTTGAGATTCAAAGTTGTAAGCTCACAAGCAGGGGTTTTCCCCCCCCCCACAGAAAGGTCCAACTGTGTAGTGTTTTGTAGGAAAGTGTTATCAGGTTCGTTTATTGGCCACAGTGTTCAAGTTCAAGAGAAAAACTAACCCAAAATTTCTGCTCCCCTTGATGGACTACGTTAATTTATTTTTAAAACAAGAGGAGTATGCCATAACATTTTTACAAGCTTTAATAACATGTTGTTAAAAGGGAGGACTACTTTATTAACTTAAGATTTAAAGTAATTTAATTCTTTACTGACAGATTAATGGATTTATTTTTTTTAAATGCACGATATGCAGAGATTTTGGTTTTGAAATTACTCTAAGGAGCAGAAAAACGAAGCTAGCAGAGCATGATGAAGATGACATCAGTTTCTGTTGTGAAAAATAGTCTTTGTGCTCAGACCAGTTCTTAAGGTGCTACCTTTGGCGA